GCTTATCTCCCTGAGCTTGGCCTTCATAATTCCATTCCATCACACTAGCCAAGATATCAAGCAGAAATTTTCATATCTTCTGATACTACTTCATTCTTTCAGATGGAGATATTGCAAATTGTATTTGTAACCTGCTGTAAGTCATGTACACTACCACCAAGAACCACAGTTCATTCGCAAAATATCAGCTAGCACTCTGAATTCTGTGTACAGCTTTTATTCTCTAACCACATTGACATATAGCACTAAACCAGGATTAAATAAAACTATAGCCTGTTGAGCAAACCCTAGTGGCTTTGTTCACACAAAGCTAAGCCATAGTGGGTTATTCCACATCTTGCATTAAAAAAAAACACACCTCATTATGGCATAGTATTATGTGTGAACTTGGCTGTCAAGGTGTAATGTTGTTCTGCATCTAATAAAATACTTGACCGATCAAAAGGAAACAGACCTTGATATACAGTAGTAACAGATTAAAGGCTCAGGCCTGGGCTTCAAAAATGATCACAAAGAAACTCCTTTCTGTTAAGGCCCTCAGCTTCAGAAAAGGTTTATGCAGCACAGGAGTGATATGCAAGCATTTTTGGACCCAGAGCAGGTAGACAGATCTTTGATTTGAATGATGTCAGAAAAAGCTTTCACCAGTTAAGAAGTTTTATATTTCCAGAACTTTGAAGAGAGCTTTCATCTTTTTGTTTCTTTTGTTTGAACTGTAGCAAATATAGCAATACAATAGTGGTGGCAATAGTCAGCCCATCTTTGGTGTGTGGAGGTACATGTGTATATTGAGCCAGGTGCTTGAAATGTAATGCAACACTGCAGTGTTGTTTATACCATATTGTTTGTTCTTGAACGTGCCTAAAATCAAAGATTCTTGCTACTTGCCCTTTGTTTAATGTTGTCTAGACAGAAACAGAATTCAAAATGATACTGATAGATTAGAAAAGGGGATGAAAATAACAGTGAAAATTAATAGAGACAAATGTGATGTTATAACAGAGTGAAAATTAATAGAGAAATTATAGGTGGGGGGTGGAGGATCTGATGCTTTTGCCATACTGTTGCTAAGAAACCTCTTCACCATAGTGACACATCCTCTGCCCCTTTTGTAGGTGATGTCATGAGATGTGTACAAAAGGGGTGGGACTTACAATGTAATGCTGTTTTGGTCATTTGGCTCCCCCTTGACCTCCCCCTTGCAGATAACTCTGATAGGGAGTATTGGAAGAATTGATAATGAAGCTCAAGTTCAGATACTTTGGTCACCTAATGCGAAGAGAGGACTCTTTGGAAA